CTCTCCTATGTATTATCTGAATGTTACCTGTTTCAGGGAAGACCACAGGAGCCAGGCTTTGGATTGCATCGGAAGTAAAATGTCAGTTGAGTAGAGGAATTCAGTTGCCAGATTTTCCCTGTAGGATCATGCTTCTAGAGATACTGTATAGACATTGAAAACATTTCGAAATAGAAAATTTATCTCACTTTTCGTTAATCTTAATGCCAATTTAGAAATTGGTGTTTCTGTTCAATAGACTTCAGTTGTAGCTGGCTGATGCCTACACTATTTTTTTCTGCCTGACCTGATCTGTAATTTATGAAACTGAGCAGGGAAGTCTCTCTGAAGGCTGTATTGTGACTGCAGCTTATTTGGACAACTGATGGCTTCTGTTTCTTTTAGGTTCCAGAGTTTGTCATATAAGCATTTATTTTTCCATTTAATGTAAAATCTTTGACTGGAGCTGAGCCCTGACACATGACGTGGCATCCCAAGATCAAATGTTATTAACATAAAGTACTGGAGACCATCAGTTGAATCAAAGGACTTCATTTTCAGAGGCGGTCTATCCCAGATTTCTGGTAAAAGTCCATGAAATTTGTGATTTTGTACCATTTTTCAAAACTGGATCCTGACCTAAGACACCTTAATTGGACGGCACCATTAGTGGGGAATGACTTCTGGCTGCTGTACTGAAATCTCTTCAGTATATGGCCATGCACCCAATGTTCTGCAAAGGCAGAAAATATTAATTAGAGAATATTCTGACAGCTGAATTTGGCCCATTATAGTTATAAAATGGATATTGGTCAGAATTTCTGTGGATGAGAACCTACCCAGCTAAGTAGTACTTTGGTTTTGGAACTGTTTTGCCTTTGTATAAGAATATTAAGCAAAAGCAGTATATTCTAAAAATACATTCAGTAGAAATTTGTACAAAAATGGTACTGCTGCTACAGAGTTTCTTATGAACTGTTATATAAATAATTTGCTTTAAAACACTCTAAATATTTATGCAATGCAGCAGTTAGAGATGTTATAAATTTTAAGCCTGAGAGTAGCTTACTGTGTTCAACGTCTTTGGTTTGTACAGCAGAACATTTTTCATTTAACACCATATTTAAGAAAACAAAGTAAATACCAGAAGACATACTGTGTGCATGCCCTGTATTTAAATATAAAGCTTGAGTTGCAAACGGAGTCAGCTACAACAAGGGAAATACTGAATCTGACTGTTAGTAAATGTTCTCCCGTGCTTATATTATATGAAGATTATTTGTCAATAGATAATGCTGCATATGCTATGACGAGATTTTAAGAAGCAGATCTACATGCGGGATGTCCAGTCTCCTCCCCTTAGCCAGGCCCAGCAGAGGACTCGCCATCTCTTCAGCCACACCACTGGGTTCTGCTTGCCCTGTCAGCAAAACTGCTCTCAGACTTGGGTGCCCGCTAAACAGGGGCAGTGCCTAGATCCTGCTGCTTTTTTAACAGTAGTGTCTCTTAATGTTGTCCTCTTGCTTTTGAGTCCAGCTCCTGACCCTTGGCTTTGCTCCCTGGGTGCCGAGCACGGGGCTCAGATCCCTTCCCTGTCCCTGCTGGCCACGCCAGTGCTGACACAAGCCAGGATGCCACTGGCCTTCTTGGTTTTCCCCCCCCCCCCCGGTCCCTCTCTGACCGGCAGCTCTCCAGCCACTCCTCCCCCAAGCCTGTAGCCACACAGGGGATTGTTGTGGCCCAAGGGCAGCCCCCGGCATTTGCCCTCAGCGAAACTCCCCCAGTTGGGCTTGACCCATCGCTCCAGCCTGGCCAGGTCTCTCTGCAGCCTCCCTACCCTCGAGCAGACCAACACTCCCACCTAACTGGGTGTCAGCTGCAAACTGACTGAGGGGGCACTCGATCCCCTCGTCCAGATCATCAATAAAGGTGTTCAACAGGAGTGGCCCCAAAACCCAGCCCTGGGGGACACCACTCGTGACCAGCCGCCAGCTGGATTTAGCTCCCTTCACCACAACTCTCTGGGCCCTGTCGTCCAGCCAGTTTTTTACCCAGCAAAGCCTGTGCCCATCCAAGCCACGAGCAGCCAGTTTCACCAGGAGAATGCTGTGGGAAACAGTGTCAAAGCCTTACTAAAGTCAAGGTAAACAACATCCACAGCCTTTCCCTCTTCCAGTAAGCCAATTGCCTTGTCGCAGGAGATCAGGTTTGCCAGGCAGGACCTGCCTTTCATAACCCCGCTGACTGGGCCTGATCCCCTGGCTGTCCATTACATGACTTGTAATGGCACCTGAGGTGACCTGCTCCATCACCTTCCCTGGCACCGAGGTCACACGGACAGGTCTGTAGTTTCCTGGATTCTCCTTTCTGCCTCTCCTGTAGATGGGTGTCCCATTTGCCACCCTCCAGCCCAACGGGACCTCCCCAGTCAGCCATGACCTCAGGTAAATCATGGACAGCAGCTTGGCGAGCACATCTGCCAACTCCCTCGGCACCCTTGGGTGTGACCCATCAGCTCCCACAGACGTGTGTGCATCCAAGGGGTGCAGCAGGTCTCTGACCACCACCTCTTCAACTGTGCTGACCTCAGTCTGCTTCCCCTGCCCATCTCCCAGCTCCTGGGGCTGGGTGTCCAGGGAACAGCCAGTTCCACTGCTGCAGACTGAGGCAAAGTAGGCATTGAGCACCTCAGCCTTTTCCTCATCCTCAGTTACCATGTTTCCCTCTGCATCCAGGAAAGGAAGGAGATTTTCCCTAATCCTCTTTTTGCTGTTAATGAATTTACAGAAACATTTTTTTTATCTTTAACAGCTGTAGCCAGGTTGAGCTCTGTCTGTGCTTTGACTGTCCTAATGTTCTCCCTGCACAGCTTCACTACAGCTTTATAGTCCCCATCAGAGACCTGCCCCCTCTTCCAAAGGCAATAGATTCTCCTTTTGTTCTTGAGATCCAGCCAAAGGTCCCTGTTTAGCCAGGCCAGTCTCCTTCCCCGCCTGCTTCTTTCCGGGCCCATGGGCACAGCCTGCTCCTGGGCCTTTCCGACTGCTCTCCTGAAGTGTGTCCAGCCTTCCTGGACTCCCGTTTCCTTCAGGGCAGCCTCCCGAGGGATTTTGTCAATCAGTCTTTGGAACAGGTCAAGGTTAGCCCTGCGGAAGTCTAAGGTGGCAGTTTTACTATCCCTTTCTTGGTTTCTCCAAGGATGGAAAACTCAATCATCTCATGGTTACTGCACCCGAGACAGCCTCCCACCTTGAACTCCCCCACAAGCTCTCCCTTGTTCCCAAGCAGCAGGTGCAGGAGGGCACCTTCCCTGCCGGCTCACTCACCAGCTGGGTGAAGACGTTATCATCCACACAGCCCAGGAACCTCCTGGAATGTTCCCTCTCTCTGTGCTGTGATCCCAGCAGACACCCGGGAGGTTCAAGTCCCTCACAAGAACAATGTCAAGTGACCACAAGATTTCTCCCAGATGTTTGTAGAAAGCTTCACCCCCCTCACTGCTTTGGTTGGGGGCTCTGTAGCAGACTCCCACAGCAAGATCTGCGTTATTGGCCCTTAACCTAACCCACACACTCAACCCCGCTATCACTGTACTTGATTTCTGAGCTCTCACAGCATCCTCTAACACACAGGTCACTCCACCGCTTCTCCTGCCCTGTCTGTCCCTCCTGAAGAGCTTGCAGACATCGATTGCCGTGCTCCAGCCATGTGAGGCATCCCACCATGTTTCTGTTAGAGCTACTACATCAGAGTTCTCCTGCTGCAGCATGGCCTCAAGCTCCCCTGGCTGTTGCTCACACTGCATGCGCTGGAACAGATGCACTGTAGATGAGCTCATGAATCCAACCCCCTTTGGTGAGCGTGGGCCCCATTCCCTACCAGACCCTTCTCAGGTGCTTCCACAGTCCCTAAACATCTTTCCCTTCTCTCAAATGAAGTGGTAAAGGGAGAGCCCTCACCAGTCCAGCATCCTTCAATCTGTGGCTCGCTTCCCTTGAGCTTGTTACTAACGTGCCCAGTTATCACCCTCTCCCCCCACATAGAAGCCCTGTTGATAAGCCCTGCTAACTCCTGCCCCAGAATCCTTTTCCCCCTCTGGGACAGCTGCATCCCACCTGTCTCATTTGTTACCAGCAAACCAGGTGCCTGATAAACCTCGCCATGGTCAAAGAACACAAAATTCCGACGGTGGCACCCATCTCTGAGCCACGTGTTAATCAGATATGTTTTCCACCCTCTATCAGTGGCTTTCCCTTCCACTTGAGGGATTGATGAAAACACGATCAGAGCTCCCGAGCCTTCAGTTAGCCACCCCAGTGCCTTGAAGTCCTTTTTGAGTGACTTAAGACTTCTCTCTACCACCTCATCGTTACCTGCCTGGATAACCAAGAAGGGGTAGTGATCAGAGGGTCACACCAGAGCAGTGACCTTCCTTTTAATATCTCTGACCCAAGCCCCACAGAGGCAGCAGACCTCTCTATGGTAGGGGTCTGGTTGGCTTATGGGCCCCTCTGTACCCCTCAGAACAGTCACCCACTACAATTACCCTCTTTTCTTCTTACTTGAAGTTGCAAGTCGTGGGGCTGAGGGACAAGCTGTGGATGGCTCACTACATGGGTCCTCGTTTCCATCTCCCTTTGTCTGGTCTTCTAGTTCCAAAGCCTCATACCTATTGTATAATAACAACTGGGAAGGTGAGGGGGGCCAAGAAGGTTTTCACTTGCCTTCCTGAGGAAGGACTTGACTCCATTCCCCCCTCTCCCCCACATGCCCTCCTTCTGCCTGGTGAGAGGAGGGGAGGGGGTCCTTGCATTTCTTCTAGAGCCTCTGCCTGATGCCTTTGTCTCGGAGTGTGAGCCCCACCAGTCAACCTCGTTTTCGCACTCTTTGATAGTTCTCAACCTTTCTGCCTCCTCCCTCAGTTCAACCACGTGCCTGAGCAGATCGTTTACTTGATCACAGCGCACACAGACGGTGTCTCTGACTCCCTCTAATTTAGGTGCCAGGCTCGGGCACTCTCATCAGGCCGAGACCTGCACAGCCACCTGTTTGTGCAGGACCTGTGTCTGGGTTCCCACATTCCTCATCACTCTGCCTCTGGGCCGTGTTGTGACCATGTTCTTCTCTCTGGCCAGGAGAGAACCAATCTGTGTGCTATTTCCCACACACTGGGCTCTCCCTTCCCTGTGCTGCCATTCCTTCCCTCCCCTCTCTACAGCACCAACCAGTTGCTTGCAGGGATCAAAGGTACCTTGTCCAGCGGCAGACCTCAGCCCTGCTCTACACTCAGCCTCGGCGCACTCAGTCAGGTGCTGTCTGGGCACCCTGAGCTCGATGGGCAGCTGTCCTGCCATGAGGTTCTTATTACCTGATCAACGGTGGGTGGTGCTGGTTCTGCCCACCCAGCTCGTTACGGATGGGTGGGGTGTGAGCTGCTCTCCTCCGCAGCGACTGTTGGTGTGGTTACACCGCGTTCAGAACAGGCGCCACCAGCCCTTGGCTCTGCCCTCCACCACACCGCCTCAGCTGCTCGCCCACCAGCTTGCCAGACACCTTAGAGCTGGCTGGCCGCCTCCCTGGCTCCAGAAGGTTCAAAAACACATTGGATAGTTCACTGAAAAATTTTTATTGAAGCCAACAAGTGACATAACTGGGCCATAATGTATTCTGCTGATATTTTATAGCTGATATATCTCTTCTTCTGCCAGGTTGAACTAGATCCATCTGATGCTGTTACTTCTCATTTTTTCCTTTGCTGCTTCTTGTTTAACTTTACTGCTGCTCAGCTCAGCTGTCTCAACAGGTTTATTTGCAGGTGGCACATCTTCTTCACTCACAATCTCATTGTCAGTTTCCTGGATAACTTTAATCATTTTGGCGGGGTTGTTAAGAAAAGCAGATTTATTCTTTTGGAGAGCTTGCCCTCCTTTTCCACCATGAGGTTTGGTCTTCCCCTTTGGTGATGTTTTCAATTCATCAGTTTCTGGTTTAGACGCCTTTATGGACGTGGCTTCATTTTCTTTATCAACCTTTTCATCTACTTTTCTTTTTTCAGTTTTTGCCTTAGAAGGTTTGCTTTTCTCCACAGGTTTTTTTGACTTGTTCTTTTTGTTGGAGGGCTTCTCTGACTTGGTTTCTTTTGGATGGTCTTTCTTTGCCTTTTTCTCCTTGGCTGGTCTGGTTTCCGGGAGATCGTCACTTTTGGGTGAACATTTCATGGAGCACCAAGACACTTTTGAGAAGAAGATGTTTTAACATTGTCTATCTTTGTAACTCCTCCTTCGCTTTTTTCACAGGAGGTTGGTTCTGTTTGAGGAGGTATTTCATGATCAGCGTCCACCTTCTCTTGGACAGCTTTATCTGGTTTTATTATACTGTCTTTCCTAGGAGGAAGAGCCACTTCTACTTTCTGCTTTGTCTTGCCAGTTTTTGCTTTTGGCTTACCCTCCTCTTTTTTCTCCTTTTCAGATTCTGGTTTGACAGCAATAGAATCTGCTCCCATAGGCTCATGTCTCATAGGGGTGGCATCATCTCTGCTTGGGAGCATGAACAGAGAGTCCATTTTAACATCTGCTGCTGTAATTGGCTCTCTTCACTTTCTCATACCTTCTAACAGTTCAGCATTGGGAAGTCCTTCATTCTCATTGCCTTCTCTTCTGGTGGTTTTTATGTTGAGTGGGAGACTGGTCTCTACAGACTGAAGAACTTGAATGTGAATGGTGGCATCTGTACGCGGGTGATCTTGACCTTGAATGGTGATAACCATGTGACCTTG